ATGCATTTAAAACACCAAACACGATGCCTGACATATCAATGGTCTCAATGCCCATTAGCATTTATCCTTATTACCATATGCACTTTCCCCAAAATTTCCACAGGTTTATCCCTTACAACTTGTGCCTACCCTCAGAAAAATCACAAAATATCTACAACTGGTATTTCTTTGCTTGCTGTATCTGTGTGCACTTTTCTTACATTAGGTTTTTAAAAGTGGGGGCTTTGGGAGGCTTTAAGATTAGGGACCTGATGATTGTCAGAGAGTTTCCTGATAAGGTTGTGTGGCCCTGAATAGCAGTAGTTCGTGGGCATCTCAGCAGTGTTAGGACTAAGGGAGGAGGTGAAATCTGTGTGTGCTTATTTTTGCTGCCTTGTTAGCAGGGGAGACATAGAGTCCAGGCATCAATTAAGAGTGTTCAGATAAGCACTGGTTCTCAACTGGGGGCAGTTTTGACCCCAGGGGATCACAGTCAATGTCCAGAGACAGTTTTGATTGTCAGGCCTGCAGGGATGCTACTGCATCTAGTAAAGGCCAGGGATTCTGCTAAATATCTTCAAATGTATAGGATGGCCCCCACAACAAAGAATTATCGAGGCCAAAATGTCAACAGTGTCAGCGTTGAGAAACCCCAGGCTAATGCCAGCCCTATGGCTGAAAGTAGGCAGTGGCCTTCCCCTATGTGCTGGAAAAGGGCAGGAGTATTCTTACCCATAGCATCCAAGTTCCCCTGCTCTACCTCTGGCCAGTTGAGCCACTTAATCCCTTCTCCTGTGGATCCAGAGACAGAGCAGCTTTGAAGTACAAATTTCTCATCACTATCATTTAATCTGAAGGTACGCCTAATCTTGAACTGTGTGTGGTAGTAAATATTAGAGAAAGATAATTAGGGTCTCTGTCCTTAGGAAACTCACTGACAGGTTGTATGTTAATAAGAATCATTCTCTGTAATTCATGGCTTAAGCAAATACAGAAACACACTCACACAAGTATGCTATGGGCTTACATGGATAAACAGGCTGTAATGTTAGAATGGGATGAAGAACAGGGCTCTCCAGAGGAACAGACCAGTGGGATATGGAAGAGACAATAGCATATGCAAACAGACCAATAGGAGGGTGGGGGAGGAGCCTGGGAAAGAGAGAGTTTTATTAGGAGGAATTGGCTCATGTGATTATGGAGGCTGAGAAGGCCCAGAGTTTGCCATCTGCAAGTGGAGATTCAACGGTTAGTTTGTATTTCTAGTATGAGTCTGAAGGCCTAAGAATTAGGAGCATCAATGCTGTTAATTCCTATCTGAGTAGAGGAGAAGACCAATTTCCCAGCTAGAATATATAAGGTAGAGTAAGTGAATTCTCCTTTACTCCTTCTTTTGTGTCATTCAGGCCTCCAGCAGATTGGAGGAGGCCCACCCACATTGGAAGGGCAATCTGTTTTACTCAGTCTACTGATTTAGGTGTTAATTTTTCCAGAAACATCCTAGAAGATGTTACTGTTACTAATTAGCATTTTTTTGTATCAGCTTGAAGAAATTTCTTTAACATTTCTTGTAAGGCTGATCTATGTGATGACCTCCTTTAGCTTTTGTTTGTCTAGAAAACTCTTATCTCTCCATCACTTCTGAAGCACAGTTTTGCTGGGTAGGGTATTCTTGGTTGATTAGCAGGGTTTTGTTTGTTTGTTTAGTGCTTGCATATATCATCCCACACCCTTCTGGCTTGTTAAGTTGCTGCTGAAAAACCTGCTGATAATCTTATGGGGATTCTGTTGTATATAACAAGTGGTTTTTCTCTTGCTGTTTTAAAGATTTTTCTACTTGTATTTAACTTTTGATAATTTAATGATAACGTGTCTTATGTGGTTCTCTTGGGATTCATCTTTTTTGGAACTCTCCAGGCTTGCTGTGTCTGGGTGTCTGTTACCTTCCCCAAATTAGGGAAGTTTTCAGCCATTATTTCTTCAAGTAAGTTTTCTGTTCCTTTCTCTCTTCTTCTGGGACCCCTACAATGAGAATATTAGTCCTCTTGATGTTTTCCCATAAATCCCTTAAACTATCTTCGCTCGTTTTTTATTCTTTTTTCTTTCGCTCCTCTGGAGGAATTCCACTTCCATCTTAGAGTTCACTGATTCTTTCTCCCACTTGATCTAGTCTGTTATTGAACCCCTCTTTTTCAGTTCAATTATTGTCCTCTTCAGATCCATGATTTGTTTGGTACTTTTTAATATTTCTATCTCTGTTGAAATTCTCATTGTTCTTCTGACCTCAGTTAAGCATCTTTATGACCATTATTTTGAACTCTTTATCAGGTAGATTATTACCTTCCTTTCTTTAGGATCAGTTCCTAGAGATCTATCTTGTTCTTCTGTTTGGAACATATTTTTTTCTGGGTTGTTTTATTTGTTTGTTTGTTTTCCACTTTCCTTGACTCTTCGTGTTGGTTTCTGAACATTAGTTAAATAGCCACCCCTTTCAGTCTTGACAGAGTGATCTCATATAGGAGAAGAACCTCGTAGACCAGCCTGACTGAGTTCTTAGCTGTCTCTCAACTCTGTCATTGGTGATTGTCCAGGTGTCCTTCTTTGTTCTTGGTGGCTTTTAGTAGTTATGAATGTCCCAAGACCTGTCAGTGAGGATTGCAGTCAGCGTCTAGATACAGGCTGATGAGAAGCTGCATCCTCAGATACAAGCTGGGAAAATATGTAGTTAAGCTTTCAGGGAGAAACTTTTTGCCAGTTCCCTCAGTCCTGGGCCCAGGTGGGTAGCTACCAGGGGGTGGGGGTGCTCTTGTGCCCATTAATAACTGTTTCTTTGCTTGCTGCAGTCTTGCTAGTGCCTCATTAATGCAAGGCCCATTGACTGCTAGCATCAGGTGATCCAGGGACCCATCCCTCAAGTGATAGCTACAAGAGCTGGGGTGCCAGATATGTGTATAACTTCCTTTCAGGGAGATACTGGTGACTTGATTTTATTATTGGAGCAGGCTGGTGGGAGAAGTGTCTGCCAGCTTCCCCAGTCCATGAGGAGGATTACAGATAGCCCCCAGATATCTGCTAAATTAGAAGCCGGGCCCTCAGGTAGTAGGTTTAATGTATGCAGATAAACCCCTTTCAAAAAGACTGGGAGATGGGTTTTCTTAGCCTGCTGCCTCTGCACCGAACCTTGGGGAAGTAGATGGTTAAGAACTGCTTCTTCGTTTGCTGCAGTCCTCTGGGACTCATGAGTGAAGCCCTGTTGGCTATCAGAGCCCGGCGATCTGGGGACCCATCCCCTGAGGAGCAGCCCTGAAAGCTGGGGTGTGGTCATGTGCACTACTCCTTCCAGAGAGCTCTGACAACTTGGAGTGGGCTACAGAGAGAAGATGGGAAAGGTGTCAGTGGGCTTCCTCCGTCTCTGGGGAGGATCACAATCAGCCCCTTGAAGCCTGCTAAATTAGAAGCCTAGCCCTTAAGCAGCAGCTTTTAAAGTATGCAGATATACCACTTTCAGGGAAAGATGGGGAGAAGGTACACTGAGCCCTAGGGCAATTGCTGCAGTGTTTGCTTCTGCACCCATGAAGATTTGCTTCTTTGTTTGCTATCGTCTAGTGGACATAAGCCCCATTGGCTTTCAGAGCTAGGTATTTTGGGGGCCCTTCCCTCTGGTGCAAGCCTTAAAAGTTGAGATTCTAGTTGTGGAGACCATACCCTTTGCTCCTGGGTGAGAAGCTGGGAGTTGGAGGTTCCCTCCTGGTTGTGTGGCACTATGCTGGATGGGTTGGTTCATGGTGAGAACGCATCTCAGCCTTTTCTAGCCATTTTGGTGTGGGATGTCCCTTGCCCCCTGCTTCCTGTTTTCTCTGCCTCCCTCCCCTCAGCACAGGTGTCAGATACTGAACTCTGCTCTAATTTGGTAATGGCCTCAGGGCCAGTGAGAAGTGTAGAGATTTATGGTGTGAAGGATTGGGTTTTGAGTTCTTAGGTCTGTTTTTCATAGGTTTTTCCATGTTCTTGCTGTCTGGGTATCAGCTGTTGATTCTCATTCTTTTAAATTCTACTCTTTCTGACTTGCCACTTCTTACCTGCTGAAGACGGAAAGCCAGAAGGCCCATCTTAGAATGATATTTAAAATAGTAAATAGACTGTGAGTAAGAGCTTGCTAAGAGAGTGGATTATGTGATCTCTCTAGTGCATGGATGTTTTAATGTCTGTGTTGCCTCTTTTAGCTGACTTTTTGGGTCATCCTCCAGGCTGGATATCTCACATGGGGGATGGCTGACTGGGCTTTACGTGCGCAAGGTCGGAGGCCCACAAGAATTAGTCTGTAAGGATTTTCAGCCTGTCTTCTTTTGGCTATTGGCCATAGACTTTTAAGCTCTCCCACCCTGATGCCTAGGAGAATTTTGTTCTTGTCAGACCAGATTTTTAAAAATGTTTGTCGTCAGACGTTCATTGTTTCTGGGGCAGGAGGAATGAAGGGCAGATAGCATCAAACTTGGGAGGGCAACAGTGCCCTGAAGAAAATAGCCAGAGCGGAGGCTAAAACACCCTCCCCAGAGGACAGGACAGGTGGGGAATAGCACACTCCCAGCAGGAGGACAGAGGGGTGCAAAGTGCTGGAAAGAATCAGGCATGGCAAGACCGGGGCGGGGCGGGGGGGGCAGTGTATGCGGGTGGTGGGAGTTGTGGGAAGAAGGAAGATGGTAGGGAAGAGAGAACTTCTTAGGTGCCAGGTGGTAGAGAAGAGGCAAGGACAGAGGTTTGGATGTGGATTTCTGTAGACTCTGTCCTCTTCCATGGTGTTTTGTTTTGTTTTGTTTTGTTTTGAGAGTCACTGACTCCCTGATACCATTCCAGGGCTCCTTAGTTGTGAGCATTACAGGTGACAGCTGTATCTGCCAGGATCATCAGTGGCCATACTCTGCTGAAGTGGCTTTCTGAGTAATAGCCCTGAAATGCTTTCCCAGTTTTGTCGTCTGCCGTCCATGTGGTCACTAAGCTTCTGTGTCTCCTTCCTTCCCCAGGTCGGTGGCTGGATTGGATAAGGAAGCAGACCTGGTACACATGGAGGTGCGGACCGCCGATGGATGTGAGTGCTGAGGCCGTGGGTGAAGCCAGGGGAGATCTGCCAGCAGGTCCCTCTCCTCCCCCAATTTGCATTTTAATGGCTTGAGAAGATGAAAAGCCCTGAGCTCCATTACTGCCAGATCCATCCTATTTCCCAGAGTAGGGGGAGAGGCCTCTGGTCCCGAGAGAGATGTTTTATTGAAATAAACCCTCAGGAATGAATTTTCTGGGGATGTGAGTTAATGTGATGAATTTTGAGGCTCCTGTTAGTAATTTCCTGGCATCTTCAGTGTAATTCAGATAGGGGTGTCCATAGCTCATCACAGTACTTTGCATTCACACAGCAAATTACAGGGGCTGCCAGCTTTAAAAATTAACCCTTCATATAGTTAAGCTTCCCAAAAAAAGTCACTGGGAAATTTTTTCCAAACTGTTTATTCATTCATTCCACGAATATGTAAGGACAGACTGCTGTGTACCAGGCATTGTTCTAGGCCCTGGAGATACAGTGGTGAGCAAACTATATTGTCCCTACAAACAAGCAGTAGAATCCTGGGATCTTGAACACGTGACCCCTTTGTACATTGTGTACCTGCGTACATGTTACACTGAATTTGACTGATAACATATCATTTTGCACTGCTTTAAGCATTTTACTCTTCCCGGAGTTGATCATATTATTATAAGGCTCTTCTCTACCCAGGAAAAGTCAGCTTAAAGTCAACTAAAACATGTATAAAATATGTGAAAATATATGATCTATATGAAATAGATAAGAATATAATTAGCATAGGTCAACAATAGAGCCAAAGTCTATAGAAATAGTAGTGATGGAGGGATGCAGCAGAACAGGCACCTGTTTGTGAGTTGGGGTCTTGGGTTCTGCCACCCACTAGTGATGGAGTCTGGGGAAACTCCCTCTGATCTCTGTGTTAAATCCCTCCATTGTCTGAGAATACTCATCTTGCCCTGCCCACCTCAGAGAGTTATAGGCTAACCAAGTGGAGAAGGATGTTATAGAAATTACAAAATGTACAGATGTAAGGAGGTTCAGTTTTGACCTGGCTGTGGGTGTTGGAGTATCAGAATACATTAAGTAAAACTACATGTGCTTAGTCCATATGCCAGAAACATGCATTTTGGGGAATATTTCATTTGCCTTTTTTTTTAATTTTTAAAAGACTTAGAAGATAGCCACATTTGTTACTGTATGTCTGACATTCTGCTGAATACTTAATTTTTGTCTTTCTTTCTCTGCGCGCGCGCGCGTGTGTGTTTTAATTGGTCTTATTTCGTTCTTGAATAAATGTAAGTCTCTGAAGCAGACAAGGATGAGGGATGGTCCACGCTCTTAAAAAAAAGTTTTTTAACAGAAGAGCTATTGAAGATTTAGGAAAATAGGGGCACCTGGGTGGCTCAGTCAGTTCCGTGTCCAACTCTTGGTTTTGGCTCAGGTCTTGATCTCAGGGTCGTGAGATCAAGCCCTGCATCGGGCTCTGCACTTAGCATGGAGTCTGCTTGAGATTCTCTCTCTCCTTCTCCCTCTGCCCTTCCCACTCATGCTCTCTCTCTCTTTAAAATAAATAAATAAATCTTTAAAAAAAAAGACTTAGGAAAATAATACCACGTATTCAAATTCACTGATCAGAAGGGTGGTAAAGCTTGGATCTAAAATTATATGATCTGACTCTTACTGCTGAGAAAGAAACTGGGCGAAGAGTGAGATGTAGGGGTATGAAGGAGCAAACCAGGGCTGCAGTAGGAGGGCAGATATTAGCTCTCAGATGACCCACAGGCCAGTTTTTGGTATGATTCCAGCCTTGGTGTGGCTTCCCATGTCAACCTTTTTATGCCTTATATGTGATCTAGGCTGGCTTTAGTATTTTAGAGTTGGTAAAACTTGATAGGATTTTCTGACCTACCTAGTGTAGGAATCCCTTCCCTGAAAACTTCTGAGAGTGTGTCCTCAGGTTCCCTGACTTCAGGCTTAATTAGACACATCCTTTTCTACTGTTGGACAGCTCCCATGTTTTGTTTTATTAAGCTAATTTCTTATATTAAGCTTAAACCTATCTTATGAAAGTTTAAGAATTCTGATCCAAATTTGGATAAGGCCTGTGGTGCAGGACTGCTGCAAAATTTTATGAGATTAAAAAATGTAAAACACATAGAATAGTTTCTGGCCTATTGTCAAGAATCAAAGAAAGCAGACAGACCTATAGCAGGGATAAATGTCATGTGCCACACTTAGGTTAAAGTATAGTATTATTGGTTATGTTCCATTTTCTAGGTTTTTTAAAATCAGTTTCTCAATAGTTAATCTTCTCTCAACTTAGACTGGCTCTAACTCATGTTTATTTAGAAGACGCGTATAACAAGACTGCATTAACCTGGAGAGATTGTATTTTACATCTCTTAATGAAATGCATGATGCCTTTCTTTTGTGCTATGTGGTGAGAGCTTTCTTACTTATAAAATCACACATACACACACATCTTCATGTTTTAATCATCACAAAAAGGCACAGCATGTATTTTATTTCCTTTTTTTTTTTCTGACATGGTAGTCTGAAATAAAATTTGCCCAAATTCACGCAGCTAGCTAGTGACAGAATAAAAACTAAAGCACAAAACTCTTAATACACTAGAAATAGAAGGGAACCTCTAACAAAAGATGTCTACAACAGACATGCAATTAACATCATATTTAATGATGAGATACTGAATACTTTCCGTATAAGAGGAGGAAGAAGGAAGAGATGTTTATTTAGCCTCACCACACATATTCAACATCATGCTGAAAGTCCTAGCCTGAGCAATAAAGGAAGAAAAATGAAATGCAAATGCACTTCATACAGATTGCAAAGGAAGAATTAAAACTATTATTATCCTCATTGACACAATTGTGTATGTAGAATATCCCAAGAAATCTACAAAAATAAAAAACTCCTAGAACCAATAAGTAGGTTGAGCAAAGTTGCAGGAGACAACAAATTCAGTGGAGAAAGGATGTAATTTTTAACAAATGGTATTGAGAAAAATTGGGCAGCCATATGGGAGAAAAGTGAACTTCAACCTATGATTCGCAACTTAAATTTATCTCAAAAATGGATATTTCTAAGTGTTAAATATAAAATTATAAAACATATAGGAGAAAACATAGAAGAAAATCTCCACAACTGTGGGTTGGCATCAAGAGCAAGATTGACAAAATAAAGAATTGATAAATGGACTTCATCAAAATTAAAAAACATTTGCTCTGCTGAAGACACAATGAAGACACTAGGAGAAAATATTTGCAGATTACCCATTTAACAAGGGACTTGTGGTCAGAACATAGAAGGGACTTTCAAGACATAGCAATAAGAAACAATGCAATTTTTTAAAAATAGGCAAAAGTTTGAACAGACCACTTACCAGAGAAGATCTAAGAATGACAAATAGGCAGATGACATGATGCTCAACATCATTAGACATTAGGGAAATGCAAATTAAAACCATAATGAGATATCATTACATAAATACCTATTGGAATTGCCAAAATAACAAAACTGGTAATACCAAGTGCTGGCAAGGATTGAAAACTATTGGAACTCTCATATATTACTGGTGGGGTTACTAAATAGTACAGTCACTCTGGAAAAATATTTGGCAATTTCTTATAAAGTTACACACACCTTATGATTTAGCAATCTCACTCCTGCATATTTACCCTAGAGAAATGTTATAATCACACAAAAACCTGTACACAAATGTCTGTAGCAGACTTAATAATCACCCAAAACTGGAAACAACCTAAATATCCTTAAATATCCTTGAATGGATGGATGGATAAGTGAGCTGTCATACATCTGTGAAAGAAAATAGATGAATTTCAGAGGCATTATACTGGGTAAAATAAGACAATCTCAAAAGGTTACATACTGTATGATTCCATTTATATGATCATATGGAAAAGGCAAAACTGTAACGATACAGAAATAGATCAGTGGTTTCCAGGGTGGGGGAAGTATTTCCCAAGAAAGAAGCATGAGGGAATTTTTCAGGGTGATACAAATATTTGGCAACCTGACTGTGGTGGTGGTCACATAAATCCATGTATCTGTTAAAACTTTAGGACTGTATGCCAAAAAAATTACTGTGTATAAATTGAAAGAAGCTTGTATTAAAAAATAATACTAAAATAAATATGTAAGGAAAAAAGGGAGGGCGCCTGGCCAGCTTAGTTGGAAGAGCATGCCATTTTTGATCTCGGGGTCATGAGTTTGAGCCCCACATTGGATATTGAGGTTACTTAAATTAATATTTAAAATTAATACTAATATAACCTATATTGAGGAAAAACTAGAGAACACAGTTCTTGGCTTCTAGTTTTATAGAACTTCCTACCTTTTCTGATTAATTAATTAATCAGTTTCTTGATCCACTTATTTCTTCTTTTATTCAGTGTTTATTTAAAATCTGTATAATCTGGTTACTGAGGGGACATAGAGGTGAATGTGATACTATCTTCACCTCAGGGAGCTTGTAGACTGGCTAGGGAAACATAAGGATTTGAGTAATTCTAGCACAAGCTGACAGGAATATTCATAGAGTTGGACATATGTTGAGTTACAAATGGGAGTATGGCTAATAGTCTAAGAAAGTTGGGGGAAACTTTTTAAAAAGACAAAGTGTTTGATCTGGCACTTCAGAGATTAGTAGGAATTTACCAGAACATTCAGGATAGAGTGGAGAGCCTCGCATGTGCCCAGAGTTCACCCATGAAGAGTGGTGTGTGCAAGGCTGTGGATTATGGTCTGTGGCTATTAGAGATGGAGGGAGGAAAAGGCCAGTAAAGGTATGCTGGGGACGTCCTGCAAAGGAATGGGTAGGTAGCTTCCTGAGCCGTGATCCACATTAAGACACCAAGCATCAAAGGCTATTTTTACCTTTATAATGAAAAAGCTCTCATATTACCATTGTAATTTCCTGGCTGTGACCTTAGATATGGATTATACTAGACAGTCCCACCTGGTTGTTT